CCATTTCACTTCCATTTACCCCTACACCTTTGCCCTTCCATAGAGAAAAGCTTAGGCTGTTTTTATATTTCATTTGAATCATCAAACGAAAAGTCGTTGAGCCATACGCGAGTCTATTGCATAACATTAATGTTCTTAGGCTGATAATGCTGTACACGTTATGTTATAAATTAACTTTCAAAGGAAAAAGTAGTTTGACGTCTTAGCAATGAATAACTACTTGTGCAAAATATACAATTGATGCTCACAATGCGTTAGAAGACAATACAGAGTATACACAGAGAAGTAGTTTGAAAGAGGCAGTAGAGGCACGTTTTTCAATAAATCTGCTCAAAGGAAAAAAAAAACTATTTCATTTAAGGAAATGAGCAATATTCACTAACATACCATTTGCTGCATGACATTTTAAAATACTCGAAAAGTCAAAAGCGTGAAACAGATTCAGCCTGGTGCGGGTACTTTAATTTATGCCTTTATCAATGAGTGATGGACACACCAGAGTGTTTGACATGTTTAGAGACATGTAAAAGCTTCTAGAGGACCACAGATACTCCTCTCTTAGCCTTCAGATTAATGGACATGCAGATGCAATTATCCTAATGGGAAGGAGACAGTATGACATATTTTGACGGTTAGCAATTAGACCCAAACACAATCTGTGTCAGAGTAGGTGCTGGTCATTTTCCCTCTCCTGGGCTTCATTTAATCTGCAAACATAATTGTTCTTTTCCTTCATTTAAACACTAAGTAAAGCCTGATCAAAACAATGTTTAGTAATTGAATGAAAAAAAAAAGCATAATGAAATGATTTTAATGTACAAGCTTGATTTGAGTAGATATAACAGAGTAGCTTTCAGTTTTAAGGCTGAAGCTTTAGGTCCATCGTGATTTAAAAACCCAAGTGCAAACTGAACTAGTTTTTGCCACTGGCAGCATGACAAGTGCCTGTCAAGCTAAATATAAAAATATAGAAAATACTTCTACATCTGATAAAACATAAGATCCTCAGCCTGTTTTTATACATATTGCTGCTAAAATAAAAATCACATTACTTAATTTCACTCCCATTTTAACAATATAAGGTCACTGTTGTATAGATTATTGACATTTACATTACATAAATCCTTTTGAAAAAACAAAACAAAACAGGATACATGTATATTAGCTATTTGTGATTCAAATACAATTTATTCAAAAATGAGTGCAGAATTTAATAGAAGTATAGTAAATTATTACCTATGTTTGATTAAAATGTTGTGAGACACATTTCCAGCTATTTGAATCATGGTGCTCTTGATATTTTTTATTTTCCACCTATTTTTCACGCAAAAGATGAACCTATCCCCTCGAGACTAACAAATTTGGAGTCATTTTAAAAACTTTAGTTTTAAAAGTGTTTCTTCTTTTTTTTAAATCCATTTGAAAGCGTTTACTTTCAGTGTATAAATAGAAATGGTCACTGAAATAAATCTTAAAGTTATTTGTTAGGAAACAATGAGGGAAATGATTCTGCTCTTTTGCCTTATTACAAAGCTATTTACATTTAACTGAAAGAAATGTAAATTTGACTTCCTTCAATAACATTGAGATGTGTTCTTAGAAAACTACAAATCCCAGACTATATCCTAGCTACTGATTGGCCAAGATCCATGTATATTCAACAGAGTCACAGGTTCTCTTGGTTCTCAGACAAAGCTTCATATTTTCAGCCATTTTCTTCTTTATGCTGACAGATCCTGCAGTTCATCGACCAACCTCTAGAGGCTGAAGTAATATTAAGACTTTCATTTTTGCTTGAATAAAAGGAGCTGTTTCTTGAGTGAAAGCGATTGACTGAATATAATCGGTTGAGCACCAGAATCTTCACACTTCTGTGCATATTAAGCCTATTTTAAGATTTTACATCAGAAACCTATAGATGACGTCACTGACAATTTGTCCTTACAGTGTCAGTCAGTGATAATAATGATTTCATGAGTTCAACCGTCCGGATCTGCCCTACATTCTTAAGCATTTGTGTCAGGTAAGAATGTACAGGGCTATCAGACTTTCTCTGATGTGTCCGAGTAGAGCCCCCCATGAGAGGTGAAAGGTGGGGGCAAATGAGGCTGGTTTGGACTGAGTCATGGAGGAGAAGGATGGGTAAAGTATATATGAATGGAGATAAATGGAATAATTGAAGTGGATGTCACCTGGAGGATTTAACTCCTCCTGAAAAACATTTAAGGAAATGGTCCTTAACGTACTAATGGCTAACTCAAGTCTTTGTTTTTGGTTAATCTTTAAAACGCTCCAGAATATTGCTCCAAATACTCCAGATTTAATCTCATGCACTGGAATGGCTGAGAAAACATCATTCATCGAGTTATCGAGTTGTACACTTTGTTATTGTTATAGCCACAAAACAGAGAATTTGTATTTTTGTGACAACTTTAAAATTAAAACTATTTTGGCTGAAAATAAATCATGCTATAATGAATCCTCTGAAAGTGCAAAAGGTGACATCTTTGTTAAATGTCATGAAAACCCACAAGAGGTTAGCAGCCATCAGCACAGTCTGAGACACACATAGCACAGAAGCCAGTGTGTAATATGTGTGTAAAAATCAGAGGCACTTCAGATGGTCAGTTTTAAGGGAACTTAATTAACTTCCAGTCCTTTCAAATGTGTGCAATTTCATAGTTTTGTCCTTCCAGGTTTGGTCATTTTTCCAATCCAATCATCAACGGTATGCAGCAGTTGAGAGAAGGAAGTCTCAGAAGCTTGATTCTGGCACAGGCTTTTTTCTGCCCAGTGAGTGTGTGCTGTATCGGATGCGTTGCAATGTGTCCTGGGAGCTTCTTTCAGCAGCTGTGCTCTTTGGTTGGGCCACCAATGTTCCATTCTTGTGCAAAGATGCTGTTCTTCTTAAGCCTAAGTCAGTCTTGCTTTGAATATTGGAAGAGCTTTGTGAGCGTTTCATATCAGATGACCCATAACTCACCTTGCCATTTGCTAGTCCCTTATTTTGGTTAATGCCACTGGATTTAACCTCTGATGATTTATGATGCTTCCCATTTGAGATGCCAACTCCAGATAGGCTCTTGACAGCCGGGTCATGTTTTTTCACCAATTCGTTTTCCTGAGACCTTTGAAGCGAGTCCTTTTTCATGAAACCTCCCTTGAGAAAACCAAAGACATTCTCGTGACGCTTGGTGTCCTGTCGCTTTCTATGTTTATCCTCTGAATGAACTTGACCCTTGGCTGCAAGTTCCTTCTGTGTGTTTTCAGAGTCACGTGGACCAGCAAAACCAGCTTCATTCGCTGCACTGGACTTTTTTGTTGATTGAAATTGATCTTTTGGTTTGGACTTTCTACTCCTCCTGGTCAAAGTCCCATCCTCTTTTGGTCTACTAATGCTGCTGGGTTGTTGGCCCATTGCTTTCTCCATGCTACATTTTTCTTGACCCTGTGGTATTTTGGGATTCTCTTGAGGATCGGACCTTGAAGACCTCACATCTTTTTTTGTTTTATCCTCTTTATTTGGAGCTCTAGTCATCAGGGAAACAATGGGATCTTTGGTGCATCTTGGTCTCCTCCCAGACTCTAAATACTCCACCAGCTCTGCAGGAGCTTGGTTGGATGCTGGGGCAGGTTTGTGTCGGTCCTTGTTTCCAAATGACCACCTCAGTGGGAGGACTTTAGGCTTTGTGGGACTTTTCATGCTTGCACTACGTCCTTGAACTCCTCGCACAAAAGGTCTGCTTTCAAATCCACCTAAATAAGAAGTCATTAAAAGTCATTCTTCATTGTAAAAATTACAAACATACAGAATAAAACAAAAAATGTCCAAAAGTATAAATCTCTATAAGAAAGTACAAAACCGTTATTACAATATAAACCCTGGAATTTGCATGTATCAATATTTATAATATTTATAACAACATAAATGTTAAATAGCCATTTATAAACTGCCAGCCAGAGCTGTGTTTTTGTTTTAATGTATGGGGAAAGGAATGGGTTAAAAACCCAGGAACAGTAAATCTATATTCTTTTTCGAAAACATTGGGTACACTCATTTGGGTACAGCTTTTACAGCACTGCTGGCTAAAATCACCTCTTTCTTCAACTGTAGGTTCATTTTGAAAGACTGGAGACTCTGGGGAGTCTTGGATAGGTGGAGGGCATGCTGTAGATGACCGGGATACCATACTTGCTCTTGTACTGTCCCCATTCAAACGGATGAGCCAGTGGTCTGACATTGTAGAGCTGGTAGAACCTGTGCAAGAAGACGAAAAAAGAGAATAATGCTTCTAAAATAATTTTTTTGTCTACTATCTCGACTTTAAACATGAATAAAACACAATTTATTTAATATTTTTGGCTTATATAGTATACATTTTCTTAGGTTGCTCTACAAATGTATAAAGCATCCCATTGTGTTCCACAGAAAATGCCTGCATTCATTCATGATTTCCTCAAATTTCAAAGAATGTTTTTGGGAAGATCTTTTCAAAGTTATTAACAACATAAAAAAAACTAATTATATTTACATAATCACAAAATTCATCTCATTGTTTCCACTGATCTATGAAATGCTTGGTGTCATTTGGAGTAAATCCAGTAAATTAGTCATGATTTGGAAAGATAAAGCCTGTGCGGAACATAATGTTCCTTGGCTGACAGAAGATGTCAGAGTAAAGACCAAGCAAAATAAAGGAATTATCTAAACTCTAAAGATTATCCTTCAAGTTTGGGAATTGCACAGAAACATATGATTTGAAGGGCACAGTGGGTTCCTTCATTCAAAAATGTAAAAATGTTAGAACCACCAGTGGGCAATCAGGGAGAAGTTATAAATCAGGAAGGTGACCAGGAACCCAATGGAGCTCTAAAGTTTCTTTATGTAGAGAGGAGAAACCACCAGAAGGACAACCATTTATCAAGTGCTTCACAAATTAGTTCTGCCTGGCCAGGTGGAAGCCACTCCTCAGCAATAGGCTCACGTCACTCTCTTGGAGTTTCCTGTGGCTTAGCTGGTAGAACATTGTGCTTACAAAGCAAATGTGTGGGTTAAAATCCCAGGGAAAGCTAGAACTGACCAAAAATGTAAGTCGCTTCGGATTAAAGCGTCTGCCAAATACATAATTATAAATGTAATTTAATGGAGTTGCCAAAGGACATCAGAACATAAAGGACTTGGATATTAGGTTAGATGTTTAAAGAAAACTAGGCACTGCTCTTCACCTGGACAATACCACCACTACAGCAAAACATGGTGTTTGCAGCCTCATGCTTTTGAAAAGTATTTCAGGAGCAGACTGGGAGACTGAGAGTGATCTTTCATCAGGACAATGACCTTAAGCACAAAACTAAGATACCAAAGGAGGAGATCTCGACATGTTCAAAGGTTCATTGTTTGCTGAAATTTGAGGAATGGATTAATTTTATCAATGAGTTTCATTAATTAAGGCTGTAACATAAAAATGACATCATCCAATCCCTGCAACCTTTATAAGCTCTTAAAACACAACACCACCCCCAGAAACCTATCTTGTTCTAGTAACTGCCGGAACTGAAAGCTTAATAATGACTTCCTGTGATTAAATTTCCTTTTTTGATAAACTGCTGGTTGTTTTTTTTTTTTTCAATTTCTAGCCACTGGTAAAATGCTTTACTGAAAGGATAATTAAAATGAATAACACAAAAGCTTCAAAAACATACAGTGGATTCAAAGCAATCTGTTCTGTGCAGAAACAACTGTACTTGTGTCGAACAACCCTCAATCCTAAAACCAGCATATCCATTGAAGCAAAATGGCCAGTAAAAAAATGGTACTGTGTGCTTGTGTTTCGTGACTTTGGAGCCAAACAGTGATCCAAATATATAAACAAAACATCAGTCATCTTCAGTCTAAAACATGCATCCAGGGGTCAGTCCCTCACCTCTGACCGAGCTGTTGGCAGACCAGGGTGGTATGACATTTCTTCTCTGATAGAACAAGATGTATGCCCCCCGGGTGCACAGTTCCGCCTCTGGCACAACCTCCACACTGCTGTCGTCATAACTGTACCAGTGGCCATCCACAGAGTTCCTACAGAAGGCTTTTTTGTACAAAAATAAATATAGTTAGATGTTTAAAACTTACAATAAAAGGATATTTTTCAGTTGATAGAATTTTATTCCAGTAACTGGTAAATCTAAAGTTTCTTGATATATTTACATTGTACTGGCTATCAAACTATTGATGTTAAAGTGGTTTGCAGATGTAAATATAAAATGTTGAACAATCACTCAATATTAACAGTTTAAACTAATCAGGGGTTTTAATCTGGTTTACACTTCTGACCTGTGTAATGTCCGCCATGCATGCCTCCATGGTGATTGCACACGGCATACAGATCATAAAGGAAGTCAGTCTCTCCATGCTTCCAAGCTGAAGGAAAGGGAGCCAGATTCTTGATGCTTTGACTACGTTTAACCACATGGGGCGTCATATCTAATCCACTAATAGGAAAATGGATGAGGGTGGAAAGCTTGTTTCGTCGTTTTCCAACCTGCCGGAAACGCTTCAGGTGCAGAATCAGGATGTCAGGGAGTGTCCACAAACTCATCTTTACCATTCCCTGTTGCAGTTGTTTACAGTGAGGGCACTTCCAGGCATCGTCTGGTGCCAGCTGAAAAGAATACAGGCATTGAAAACATTTTATTTTAAAAAAACTATAAGTTATTAGGGTTATCTTGTTACATTGGATTATAATTAACACTGGGGTTTATATGTTAACTGTATATCTAAAACTCTACAAGACCAGACTATCCAGAACTAAATGTATTATTGGACTAGGTAAACATATAAATCCTACCTAGACTAAAAAGAAGAATAAGAACATATAAGATGATTATTGGGGAGCAGCTGAGGGTAATCAGGCTACCCAGTGTGAGGGACCTTGAGACTGTTCAATGGCATATGGAGATTTCAAGTGTGTTCCACCTGTTCTAATGGTTTTAAACAGACATAGTACTACTACATGTATAAATGACGCAATCATTTTATATGGGCTTTTTAAAAAAGCGTGGGATTTTTTTCCTTGTGCATCAAAACTAGCTCTGGGAAAGGTGAAATTGAAATATGCCCCAGCGTATAATATAATGACATCCTGCCTCCTTTAGATTAATTTCTCAGAGCAGGAAACAACTAAATATACGACACAAACACACTGGAATCTCCTTAAAAGATGGCCATAAGGATCACTGGAAAAATATTGGTTTGCCAAAGCGATTTTGGTCAATATCTGTACTGCTACTATTTAATTTCAAAAAGAACAATAAGGCATGTCTACACAAACACAGGTTTTTGTTTTTGTTCTCATGTTGTCAAGAAAACGTTGCATCCAGACATTAAAAAAAAAAAACTGTCCACACAAACTCAGAACCCTAATAAAATCCTGAAATGACTTTACCAAACCAACAGGTGGCAGTCGATTAAAAAAAACTACTAATTGATTATTCACCAGTGAGTTTGCAAAAACACTGGGAGCCTCTGTTCGGTGATCAAACATGATATTTATGTATGTATTGCTGTATATGCTGTAAGCCTCATGTATAATGCTCAACATTTGCTCAGCAGTTGTTCAACATTTCTCAACTTAAACATTTTTAAGGTTAAACTATTCTTTGTCAAGAATGAACATGTTTACTTTATCCAAAATGAGCTCCAAGACACATGTGAAGACAATTCCGTAGGACAATTGGCCTTCTGGCACAGTTGCTTTTTACTTTATTTTGTAAAGTGATCTCTAGTGATAAAATATTATCTAGTGTACCTTTAATCATAAAATGAATTCAGTAAGATAAAAATGTTACTTTTCAGAAGTTTGTGATTTGATCCTTAGATTACCTGATTTATGAGTGAGCCTCCACCCTTACTAGTTTTGATCTGAAATGTCAGTCAAATGTTAAATTTATTATGGTATGAAATGATTATACATTTATTCCTTTAGTATTTCTTTTAAACGCTGAAAGGGTTTGAATATGAGGCACATATCTGCAGTCAGTTACTAAGCAACATGTCACAATGCTCTACAGCACATCATTTCACATCTCTGTGTCAGTTCACTGAGCACATGGTTGGCATAGCAAAGCTCTTTTATTAAAACTTCAATAAATCTATAACTGTCAGGACTACAAACAATCATAACCTTTGCAAAGATGGCTGTAACTAAAAAAAAATTGGAATAATTTTTGGAATAATGATGGTTAAAGTGCATTGTAAAAAGCTGGATTTGCAACCGGATCACATCGAGCAGCACTTTATTGGCAGTCTGCTAATCCATCAAAAATGTGGTTGCCATCCAGCCTCCACTTCTCAAGACTTCAATATAAAATGTATTTCAAATGATTTTCATCAAACATTCTGTAAACATATTAAAAAGGTGGACTTTAGGCTACCAAACGTTGTTGGAAGCAATTAAATTTGTCCTGTTCATTCTCCCCAGTACTGGTTTCTGTCAGTTGCAGTTCCTGTCATGTTTGTATTCCAATTTGAAATCCGGCGTTGGGGAAATCTAGTGAGGGTTTGTGCGTTTTCCTCCGCCATGGGCTGTTAATTATCATCTGGTGAGTCGTTAAGTCATTTTGTGTCTTTGTTTTAATGAGCTCCTTGCTCTTTGCTCTGATTGGCCATTGTTGTTTTGTCACACTTTTATGTTCTGCCCTTATTAGCTTCCAAGTAAAGCTTTGTATTGGTTTGTTGTTGAATGTCAACCTCTAGTTTCTACCACTGTTCTGTCTGTTAAGTTTTTATCTTGTTCCTGCTCCAGTTTTGTCTTTAAGGAAGGATTTCTTTGTAACTTACCATTTTATTGTATAATAGTACTTGAATACAAACATTTATTTCAATTGGTGGCTGGGATTGGGTTCGGTCGAAAACCATGTCCAGACATATTCACACTATGTTTACTTTCCCATTTGACATTATGTTAAATGAAACTTAAACCTAAATGCGGCCATATTTTATTCCAATGTTCTTTCACTTACTGGGGCGCTTTTTGTTTTCTTAAGGACGTGACAGTCAGTGGAGTGATTTGTTTTGCCAGCCATGACAGGCAACTCTCATAGGTTCCATGCGTAGGATTTATCAAGTGTTTCTTGTCAAGAACCGCAAGCAAAGATGAAGAACAATGAACTTTTCAGAGTGACCTTTCAAAGAGATTCAGAAGATGTGGGACGTGAAAGACTAAACGGCAGGAGGGAGACAATTTCCATTTGCGTCTCAAGTGGGGTTTTCATTCAGGAAGAATAATCTCTAATATGAAATTCAGACCAGTCCCCATTAAATGTCTGGATGTACCTGGAATGATACTGAGAAAACCACTTTATGGCAATAGTCATTGTTAGCGTCCACAAGCCTAAAAAAAATTGCACAAATTATACCAATATCAAGAGATAAAATCAAATGTTGCCCTTCATGTCAAATACTTCAAGCTAATTGAAATAAATCTGTGCAATTATGACTCCCACTGAAAATCGAATCATCCTAACAACATGATTCACAAATGGTTAGTCAAAATATGAATGTATATAATTATTGGCTCTTGTGTTTGATTGTAGTGCTCTCCATTTAGAAAAGATTTCTGGGTAACTGCTGTTTCATGGTTTTTCATGCTCAGTTCTGTCTGTGGCTCACAGGGCTTTTGAAGGTGCCACTCAACTCACAATAAGACAGGTCTAGAATAGAAAATGGGCATCACACAAGACTTGAAAAGCAGCCTTCACCTGCATATCCTAACAGAACCAAATAAAACCCATCATTAATCACTTTCCTTTGTTGTTCTAAACCCTTGAAGTCTTTGTTTTATTGTAACACAATTTCAGATATTTGTAGTCAACTCCAGAAGAGAAGGGACAGGTCATTAGATAGCCAAGGCAATCGGACTGTCAAGCTCCATTAGAGTATCACAAACATATTTTGAGCTCATCATTTTCCACGAGGAGTTCAATAAAAGCTTTATTAAGTGGCCAGAGCACTTTAAACACAGTTTTTGTCTCAGCTACTAACTGAATAAGAATTTGAAATTTCTCAGATGCACCCA